TCGCTGACATCTTGCCGCGGAAAACCCGCGAAAAGCCGGTAAAGAAGAAACCGCCACAGAGGAAAAAGATGTATTCTGCCTATGTGGCGCAGCCAAAAAGCGAGTGGTATATTCTGCTTTGAAAGGCAGATACACAGTAGAAGTGCTGCCAGGCTGCTTCCTTAGCACAAGAGTCGGTGGTGTAGTGGATAGCACGTCACGTCCGGGTTTGAGGACTTGGGTTCGATTCCCTCGAGGTCCATGGACGTTTTTGAAAAGGTGATTTATGATTTTTTTCGATTGGTGATTATAATGATATGTGGTTTTCAGACCGGACAATTGAATGAATATACAGAGAGACGCGAACTTCCAGCTGACGTGCTGTGCATGAGTTTAAGTGAAATCCCAGAAGGCGAGCTACGATCACGTTTTCTAACGATTGGTCTGGCTGATAAAACTGTACGAATTATATCGTTGGATCCACAGGACTGCCTTTCACCGTTGAGGTGTTGCTGATGAATTGTTTTGCATTTTCGAAGTTATGTGAACAAAACTCAAAAAAACATTGAACGGTGCGAAGGACTTGGCATAACTGCGCCCTGTGAGTGAGAACATGGGATCTCCACCCCCAGTTGTGGTGGGATGTTTGATATAGTTGATAGAAAAACTTAGTTAAAGTTTTTGCTCTTCATAGAAGGTAAAAAAAATGGAGTTTAAGATTTTGGAAACTTGGGGATTTGCTTATCTGTTATTATCGATGCTGTCGCATAGAAAGCTGAAGTAGATTATGGTTTGTCGCGGAAAACCCGCGAAAAGCCGGCCAAGAGGCCGCCGCAAAGAAAGAGAAGAAAAGTGTACCTTGCCTTGAGAGGCAGATACACAGTAGATATGCTGCCAGACTGAACTTGGAGCACAAGGACTGGCGGTGTAGTGGTAAAATATTGCATTCGGACATGGAGGGGTGTGGTTCGATTCCCTCCCGGTCCAGGGCAATTTTTGAAGAAGGGCTCGGTCCACGACATGGGAAGTTTTTCTTCAACAGAAAATTTAAAGAGAAAACTTTTTATTTTTAGCATGCAAGCACTGCCATCTGAGCCAGAATCGATCATCGTACTGGAAATGTTTGGTACGGAGACGCAAAGTGCTTCCACTGTGCATTTGAATATTGGTTTACAGGTTTGATTCATTTAAGATTTAAGATATACTAGAAAAGTGGCAGGGTGGGCATATCCTTGCACTTTATTGAATTAAAACAAATGAAATTAAATTCTGGAACATTTTTGAATAGCAAGTTCCTCAATAGCGTCACAGCCGTGGTATAAAACTACCTACACCGTCGAGAAGTATCCCCTTTCTCGCTTCCCCGTGTCCCCTCGCCTCCCCGCCTTCCTCCTCCCCGATTCCGTCCCATCATTGAGCACATGATATTTGTAGCGGCAAAAATACGCGCTTTATTTGAAGGAAGCTAACATACGTTATTTAGTCATCAGCTACCGCTTCGATGCCAAAAAAATTTGGTTTGTACGTACGTGAGATTTTGGGCTGTGTGAAGGCTGAATTCAAATTTGCTTAGGACGCAGTCCGACAAAAAATGTTTGAAATTTGCTTACCTTAACTTCTTCAAGCACTGAGCTTTTAAGGGAAACCCATTATTTTCTTCGGAATTAGGATTTTTGACATATCAGAGACTTGTGAGCAGGGCTAATTGTGCAGAGAGAAAAATTCAAAAAATCGAGTCTGAGCGATGAAGTAATTTACTATCCTGTAAAGTTAATAATACTGGTGTTATTTTTAACGAAAAAGGAAATACAGTGCAAATGATTTTGGCTATTTTCAGAATGGCTGCTTACTACGCACTACGGTGGATCAAGTTACCGGTGAACTGACCGATAACAGGACACGTTATTTGGGAACAAGAAGTGTGAAGTTGTTCCGTGTTAAAATTCAAAATAAAGATGCGGTATATTTTAATCTCATGCTTATGTTTTTTGATAAATTTTACGTGAATTTCTCAATCCAGGCCTGAGCTACGTGATCAACGTAATTGTTGTAACCCGCGTTTTGAGGATTTTTTTTTTTTGAAAAAATTCTCGGTTAGGCCATAAACTTAAGTCTTTTAACAGGTTGTAGTGGTTGATTTTTTGTTTTTTTGATTTTTAGATAATGGCAGCATCATCTCGTGCTTGGCTTCTCTACGATTATCAGAGTCGTTTTCATTTAACGCCGCTTTCTTACGCAACACTGGAATATGCAGCAGGCTTCTCCTCAGAGCAATGCCCAGAGGGAATCGTTGCAATCGCCGAAAATACCCTCAGGCAAGTGACAGTTCTTAAATTTCTAATTTTAATTTGAGTTGGGTTTCTGGTTTGTGCTGGGATGTTTTCCAGTTACATTCAGACCAGTGAATGAATTAGAGGAATTGGGGAACTTTTCCATTTTTCAGAATTTGAAGGAATTGAGGAACTTTTCCATTTTTCAGAATCTGATGGAATTGGGGAACTTTTCCATTTTTCAGAATTTGAAGGAATTGGGGAACTTTTCCATTTTTCAGAATCTGATGGAATTGGGAAACTTTTCCATTTTTCGGAATTTGAAGGAATTGTGGAGCTTTTTTTCCATTTTTCAGAATTTTCACAATTTTTCATTTTCCAGAATTTTATCATTGGAAAAACTGGGTGCCGTTTTCAATCAAGTTGTACATCCACTGGATTATACACCAAGACGTATGGTAGTGCACAAACCATCAGGCAATTTGGTGATCATTGAGAACGATCATGCAGCATTTACAGCTAGAGGAAAAGAAGAACGTCGAAAGCAACTTGCTGAGGTATCTTAATTTTTTAAGGCATTTTTGTTTAAAATTAATAAAAAAGTATAATTTGGAGTGCCGAAGATATGCTGTTTTTTTTCTGTTTTCAGGAGCTGCTAGAAGTAGCGCAAGAAGCCGAAGAAGCGGATCAGCAAGCAGTGAGAGAAATGGCTGATGCGATTCGTAACGAAAAAGTCGATGAGCGGATTTATGGATCGCCAAAAAATCAGAAAGGTAAGCGAAAAATTATTTACGAATTATAATTCATTTATTACAATTCATTATTATTATAATTCATTTATTAACTTTTATAGTTATAATTCTTTTGCATATGCTTGCTTCATTCGTCTTAAAAATTTCCAAATTTTTCATGTATTTGTTTAAAAATCGATTTCATCCAAAATTTGCTGCGTATCAGACATATACAAATTTCGAAATCGGTTTTTTCAATTTATCTGACATGCATCTTAAATGTTTTCATTCAAGTTTCATCCAAAATTCTACTGAATGAATATTCGAAAAAAGAATGACCATTGAGGAGTTGGGAAAGGGGCGGGGGGCAAGGGGTAAAAAAATTGATAATTGGGGCGAGAGGGCGGTGGAGCAAGGGGGAAGGGAGTGGGAATAGATGTGTTGTGTGGAGCGAGCTTCATTGTTTTTGCGTGCTAAAAATAGTACATTGTTATTTTTAGGCAAATGGGCCTCAACAGTTCGGATAATGCGAAGCTCCGATGGTGAAACGATATCTCACTTTCCTTTCGCCACCGATGAAGCAGCATTTTCGTATGTTTTCAAAGAC